ACCAGCGGCTCCAGCAGCTCCAGCACCAGCAGCACCTCCAGCAGCTCCAGCACCAGTAGCACCTCCAGCAGCACGAGCACCTCCAGCAGCTCCAGCACCAGCAGCACCTCCAGCAGCACCACCAGCAGCTCCAGCACCAGCAGCACCTCCAGCAGCTCCAGCACCAGCAGCACCTCCAGCAGCCCCAGCACCAGCAGCACCTCTAGCAGCACCACCAGCAGCTCCAGCACCAGCAGCACCTCCAGCAGCGGGCCCCCCAGCTCCAGCACCACGGCTACAGCGCCGAGCGTACCACTCACGAAGCTGACGTGGAGAGAGGGGCTCCCGCCGCGACGGGACACTCGGAGGACCTCCAGTCTCAGCAACCCCAGACACAGCACTTCCAGGCGCAGCACCCCCAGACTCAGCAACCCCAGGCTCAGCACCCCCAGGCTCAGCACCCCCAGACTCAGCAACCCCAGGCTCAGCAACCCCAGGCTCAGCACCCCCAGGCTCAGCACCCCTAGCAGCACCAGAGTCAACAGCTACCTCAACAGGCTCGACTGCGTCTACCTGAGACACACCTGAGGGGGCAGGACCCTGAGGGGGGAGGGGGTCTACCGGAGGAGTACCTGGCGCGAGGAAGAGCGGCGGGGGGGGGAGGGGGGCAGTGCAGTAGGGGAAGAGACGGTAGAAGGAACCGACTCGTCAAACGTGACGTCCTGAGAGGACAGAACACGGCGCGAGGTGGGGTGGTAAAATTGCCAACCAGGCGCGTCAGGGGGGAAGCCAAGGAAGACGCACGGAACGGCACGGGAGGACAGCTTGTCCGCAGACAAGTCGCGGACGAAAGCTCGAGATCCCCAGACACGGAACGCAGACGCATCGCCAACCTTCCCCGTCCACCGCAGAGTGGGGGTGGTCTCCGGCATGGAGACCCGGGGCTGGAGGTTGATCTGATGCGCCGCGTACTGAACCGCGAACGGCCACAGAAAATGGGGAGCAGCCGCATGGATCATGGACGTACGAGCGACGTCCATGACCATGCCAATGCGGCGCTCAGAAATCCCATTTTGCTGTGGAGAGGCCGGAAGCGTGAACGTCTGGCGGATGCCCTCCGACCGACAGAAAGCTCGCAGAAGGTCGGAGGAAAACTCTCCACCTCTATCTGAGTGCAGACGCAGAACACGAAAGTCAGAGCCGAAACTCTCTCTGAGCTGGAGACGAGCAGCGCGGATCCAGTCGATCAACACCTCAGTGACCTCACCCTTGCGGCGCAAGGGGAAGACCGTGGTGTAACGCGAGTAGTCGTCAACAACCAGCAGGAAGTAACGCTCGTGACCCTGTCCACGGACGCGGGCTGGGTCCCACACGTCCATGTGAAGAGTCTGCAAGGGAGCCTCTGTCGGAGGAAACTAGGAGGAGTGAGGAGCGGCGCGCTGCCGGCCCTCGACGCAGGGAACGCAGGTAGGGGCAGGCTCCGGAGGAAGGGGAGGGAGGGAAGGGGGGAGACCTGAGACAAGGACACGGGAGGCCATGCCTCGGAGACAAGGCAGGGAGGGGTGACCAAGGCGGTGGTGCCAAAGGAGAGTCTCGTGAGACAGGAGGCGACACGAGCAGGGGGCAGACTCAGGGCCAGACCAGGACGCTGCAGCAAACACCTGACCCGACGCGGCTACCCGACCAGACTCAGCAACCGGAGGAGACACGGTAGTCAGGGTGTACAGGCTCGACCCAAGCTGACGGGTGAACGTGGCCAGGTGGCGGCCCGTCCGAGTACACGAACAGTGGGTCACCCGCTGACCTCCAGGGGTGAACTGGTCAACCCACACGTCCTGAAGGTCAGCTCCACTCACCAAGTTCGTGGAGAACGAGGGGAGGTGGAGGCCAGACAGAGAGCCAGACGGGACAGCCGGACACGGCAGGACCGTGGAGGAGTGTGCAAGGACCGGACCCCCAGAGGGGTCAGCCAGAGAGACTGCCACCGGCCGACTGAGCGGCGAGAGTGTGGTGCAGTCGCGAAAGAAGGAGCGGGAAGCACCCGAGTCAAGGGTGAAAGTGTGCAAGACCTGAGCCGACGCGGTACCTGAGAGAGCAGCCTCACCAGCACCTGGAGCAGCAGACTCACTAGCACCTAGAGCAGCAGCCTCAATGCCCGGGTCGGGCGGAACACACAGGTAACAGTCACCCTCAGCACTAATAGACACAGCATACATAGCAGCAAGGATAGCATCATAATCAAGATCAAAGATAGCAACCCCCGACTTAAGCAGAATATCCCAGCGAGGGATCTCAGTGGAGCCAGGGAACTGTGTAGGCCAGGCGTCAGTCAGGCGGCCGAAGCAGCGTGGAGTGGTGTGCGGGCCGCCGCACGTCTCTCCACCGCGGTCGCCGGTGCGAAGAACGTAAGTGCAGGGACCAGCACCCCCAGACCTCCCACGCCCAGCATACCACTCACGGAGCTGCTGAGGCGACGGGGTCTCACGGGAGCGCTGCTGCTGCTGGCGCTGGCCACCGCTAGAGCCTCCCCGCTGCCCACCACCGCCCCCTCCACCCCCACCTCCGTCGCCGCCGCCGCCACCTCCACCCCCACTCCCGCTGCCTCCGCCGCCTCCACCTCCACCGCCGCCACCTAAGCCCCCACTCCCGCCACCACTCCCACCTCCACCCCCACCCCCTACGCCTCCTCCACCGCTACCACCGCCGCCCCCTCCATCCCCTCCACCCCCCTTGCCCCCCTTGCTCTTGCCCCAGCGGCGCTTCCCACTAGGGGCAGACACAGTGCCGACCGACTCGGTGCCAACGAGGTCGACAGCAGCAGCAGAGGCAACAGAGGGCAAAAGAGGGACAGGGGAGCACCCCTCAAAGAAAGGGGCACGAGGGTCACCACGAGAGGCTCCTACAGCGACTATACTCTTCTCAGCTGCAAGGAGGCGCTCCTCGAGGAGGTCAACGGTGAGCGTGGTGGGGCAAAGGGAGAGGAAGTGGTCCCTGACCGAGCGAAGGGAGTCAGGGAGCCGGGTGACGAGGTAGTAGAGAGTGATGTACATAGGGGGGGGGTTCGCGGCGCAGAACTGGGCAGGAAGCGCAGCGCGGTAGCGGGTGTCACTAGTGCGGAGGTGCGTAATGAGGTCAGCGACTGTGGCAAAAGCGGCTAGGTCAGGGAACAGGTAAGGCAACATGAGGCGGCTAAGGGCAGCAGTGGCAGGGGAGGAGTAGCGCGCAACAACAGCAGCGTACAAAGTGCTAGCAGTCTTGTACCGGCTAAAGTGCGCGCGCTCAGCAGACGGCAGGTGACTACGGACAGCAAGACGGGCAGCAGCATCGCGCGTGGTCCACTGTGAGCGAACAGTACTGGCAGCATCAGCAGCAGGTGCAGCAGAGGCGCCAGACGTGAGGTCAAAAAGAGAGACTCCCTCCTTGCTATCGCACTGTAGAAACAGCTGCAGATCATCGACCCAGACCTCAAAGTCGACCGCTCGACCCTCAGCATCGAAGGTAAGGACATTAGGGTTTGCCATAGCAGCAGGAGCAGCAGCAGTGGCCTAGCGGTAGCAGCAGTAGCGCGACTCGGCAGGGCGGCGCGGCTCGGCAGGGCGGCGCGGCTCGGCAGGGCGGCGCGGGCGCAGCAGTGTGGGTGCGGCGGTGCGCTTACCAGTGGCGGGAGTGGAGGGCCTCTACTGGTGGGGCGGGGCCGGGGTGCGTCGGCAGTGCAAGGGGCCGCCACAAGGAGGGGCCGCGGCGAGGCGGCAGGGCAGGGCCGGGACAGCAGGGCCGGCAGGGCGGCTGCAAGCTCGGCAGCGGCAGCAGGGCTGCTACGGCGGCAGCAGGCGGGCGGCGACAACTGGGCGGCAGAGCCGCTACAACGGGGCGGGCCGGCCGCGAAGAGCCGCGAAGGGCCGCGAAGGGGGGCCGCGAAGGGCCACAAAGGGGCCGTGAAGGGCCGCGAAGGGGCCGCGAAGGGCCGCGAGGGGGGCCGCGAAGGGCCGCGAGGGGGCCGCGAAGGGCCGCGAAGGGGCCGCGAAGGGCTGCGAAGGGGCCGCGAAGGGCCGCGAAGGGGCCGCGAAGGGCCGAGAGGGGGGGCCGCGACGGGCCGCGAGGGGGGCCGCGAAGGGCCGCGAGAGGGGGCCGCGAAGGGCCGCGAAGGGGCCGCGAAGGGGCCGTTAGGGGCGGGAGGGCGGGCCACTAAGGGCAGAGCGCGAAGCGCGCTTCGGTTAGGGTAGGAAAAATTTCGACGTGGTGGGCCCAAGGAAAAAAAAACGGTCCCACTAGGGAACCCGCTCTATACCATGTGAGAATACTAGCAAGGAATGATTGAATTAGGAATGGAGGGGGATACAAGTAGGAAACCCTAAGTTGTGTCCCCTCTAAGGTGAGCCCCACTACAGCCTACAAAGTAGAAACATGTAATGTTTGACACCTGGATGGCAGTGACGGTTCCTGTGCTGCGTGGCATGCATTCTCAGCATCACTGGGAGAGCATCACTGCTTGCCAGTACGCCGAAGTCGTCTTGCAGCGCAGGTGCAAGCAGCAGTGCTGGAAGCCTCGCAGTCTTCCAGCCGAATGTCTAAGGCATCTTCTCATTGGCCAGCTCCATAGTTAACGTCGAAACTGCCCAATAGAGTGACACACCGCGCCAACACAAAATCTCTAAGAGTGAATGTGAGGGTGATTTTGTCAGGTAGTCCCCGCCACGCGGTGCTGGCACCGCGCGAATCCGGGATTCCCTGTTATTGTGAAGAAATCTACTTGTCGGATTTGCATTCAGTGTACAGGTTCGATACAACGCTGATCAATAAATGTTCCTGTAAAAAAAAAAAACCTGAAAATTCAGTGTTCACTCCCAAAAAAAGGCTGAACATTCATTGTTGCTAAAAAAACAAAACGGCCGAATAATCTGCCTTGGTAAAAAAAAAAAAAAAAAACAAAAACAAAAACCCCTGAAAATCAGTCAAATCAGGGTAAAAATCCTGACAGCTAAGGGCATCATACCTACCCGGGTAATGGACCCCCCAAAATTATGAACCCCCAAGTCGTTAATTGGCCAGGTGCTGAAGCTGCTAGCACACTGGCTACTGGAGCAACTGGCTCGCGGACACTAGAGTAACTGGCTCGTACGCATGGAGCAACACGCTCGTACGGCTAGAGCAACTGACTCACGTGCGACTGGAGCAACGGGCCCACTGGCGACTGGGGCTGCTGGATTCCTGTCGGCCAACCCCCTCCAACCTCCCCCACCCCCCCCTCCCCCTCCAACCACCCCCCCCCCTCGCAACGACGGAGACAGCTGGAGTAAGGAGAAACCAAACGGAGGAGGAGGAGGCTAGAAACGGAGAGGAGAGAGAAGGAAGAAGGCAACAGGAAGGAGAGAGGAGAGAGGAGGTGGAAATGCAGGTATGGGCAGGAGAGAAGACAAGGAGGAGGAGGAGAGGCGGCTGGAGCTGCAGATGCTCTCCCATCACCCCTCAACCAACCCCCCCCCCTCCCCCCCCCCCCCCCCCCCCCCCCCACGCGGTAGCAGGTAGGGAGAGAAAGGAGGAGGTAGAGGACGGTTGGCGCTGCAGAATCCCTCCTCGCAACCCTCTCACCCTCCCCCCCACAACAGCACAGGCGGCAGGGCAGAAGCTGGTGGTGCAGGCCCAAGAGCGTCACCCCCACAGCGTCCCCCCTGCAGCCCGCCACTCCACCACCTTCTTCCCACTGGCCGTTCGTCCACCCATCACTTCCCCCATACAGGAACGGAGCAGTAGGCGCAGGTGGGGCGACGGGGGGGTGCGAAAGGGTGGCGACGGGGACAAGAGGAGCCGTGTCCGACGCCGCGACGAGCACTGCAGCGGGCGCGAGAGGGCCTGGGGAGCGAAACGGGGGCTCGGCGTAGGAGCGTCGTAAAGCGGCGGCTGGGGCGCATTTGATGGCGGGGCAGCACGACGGGTGGGCCGCGAACGAGCTCGCTATCTCGTTCGTCACGATGGTCGCGAGGCGACAGGGGTCGCAACTAAGGGCGTGACGGGCGCCATGAAATGAGCGTGAAACAGTGGGCCCATAAGGAGGTTAAGGCTCTAATTCCATGTTAGAAGACTATCTTAGGAGGAGGAGCTTAGGAGGTCGAGAGTAGGATGGTTGAGGGATATTGTCGAGAGGACTGACAAAAGGAGGGGTTCATCAAAAGAAAGGAGATACAAGATATAGGCAAGCAAAGAAGGTGCACCACCATTACAGGAAAAAAATAACTACACTAGGCTCTACTGTAGGCAATTATATTAATGTATACAAGTACATTTCAACACCGGGGTCCAATCCTATGTGCATTTTTTTTATTTTAAACGAAGATGAAATACTAGTGTTACAGCACCAGAAGTGCGAATTTCAATGTTGAGGCAGGGAAATTTCGACCACGTCAAATTTTGCAGTCAAGTAAAGTTTTTTCGCTACAGTAATATGTGGCCTTCTAACAGTCTCGCCCAACATTGAAGTGTATACAGTGAGGGGGGTCTAAACCGGATTCGTTACAAAAAGTGGAGTCTATTACGAAAATGGTTATAGCATCAGACCCCCCCTACAATTAACGACCTAAGGGTCTATAATTTTGGGGGGTCCATTACCCGGGTAATTACAGTAAATTTGAAGACAAATACTGCAGCACCGAGATTCACTTGCTGAAAGTCGCACGTACGTACCGTAACCTCAGGATAAAAGACCCTAGGGTCTTATGCTAAATTCAAAGAAAATGGTGGGGGGTCTTAACAAATGGCACTTATTTTATCAGACCTGAGGCTTATGATACGACATTGAAAAACAAAAAGAAATGCATGTTTGTTGTTTATATAGCTAGTTGTACTTCGCAGCTTTGCCTCAAATATGGGCGAGGGTACGAATGTTCCCACTCTCAGGCATTTCTCTGGTGGCATAACTCTCGCCAGTGGTCAAACTTGAATTCATCGGCCTGGCAGTGGCGAAAGGAACAAAAATTTACAACATTCACCACACGATACCTACACGATTTCATCGGAAGGGGAAAAATATCGTTGTCCTCTAGAAATTGCTTCGGTTCTATTATAAAACTATCTCATTCTCACATTCCCTGTACAGATGGGGTGGGGGGGGGGGGGGGGGGGGGGTCTTATAATGTTTTTAGCCGCAAAGGGGGGTATGACTACAACTGGCACAAAGTACCCCCCTTCCCCCCATAATATAGACCCAGAGTTCTACAACTGGAGGAGGTCTTATATCCAGGGGGTTACTTACTATAAAAATCTGAGAATGATGAATCAGGACATACAGAGAGGGAACATCTAGCAAATGTGTACCCTCTATAGTCCAACCCAACCTAGTCTAAACAATACAGATGCGAATGCATAAGCTTATGTTGACACACCCCCTAAGCTGGGCAAAGGCAGTCCCGAGAGAATGGGAAACAACTCAGGGCGACACTACTAGTCCAGCCTCTAAGGAAAGAGACCTCAAGGCCAATCAACAACAACAACACAGTGTATGAGGTGCAACTCAGTGCGGTACTACTAGCCCAGCCTCTGAGAGAAAAGTGCCACAAGGCCAGTCAAAAGGTATAATCATACAAAATCACGTACATTGTACATCGATCAAGATCCTAGCAAGGCGGGATTGTGTGCATAGCCGCTGATGATCACGAGGCGGTAGCGCTTTAGTGAAGATATCAGCTGTGCTGGCTTTTGAGGCCAAGTATACTACGCGTGCCTGACCACGCTGCTGCAGCTCACGTAACAGGAAGTACCACAACGGGATGTGCTTTGCTTTGCCCTCTAGTCTAAGCCCCTGACACGGGAGGATCATGGCACTGTTATCAGCAAGTAGGACCTGGGCAGCGCTAGGCGGCTCACCTAAGTCAGCGAGCAAGCTCCTGAGCAGCCATAGGCACCAGCGTACAACGCTGCCTCACAGCTGGACTGTGCCACTGACGACGAGCCATTGGACCTCCACAAGACACCTCATGCGCCAAGACTGAAGTAGTAGCACTGAGAAAGCCGGGGAGTCTCGATGCCGTCTGCCCACGACGCGTCAGTGTGTCCCGTGAGTGCAACTGATTGTCGTCCTCCGAGCACAAGCCCCATGTCTGATGTACTAGCCAGATAGCGCAATACCCTCTTTGCAGCCGACCAGTGCTCGGATCAGTGTCCCCTAGTCGCAACAAAGTGAGCAAGGATGCTAAGAGGATGTGCGAGGTTTGGGCGAGTGCAGGTCACCACGTACATGAGGCAACCCATCAGCTTTGTGTACCGACTTTTGGGCTCAACAGGCTCGCCAAGGAATGGGGCCGAGAGCGCGTCGCCAACAGGCAGAGGAGTGGGATGTGTAAAGGAGAACAAAAATCCAAAGCGCTGGAAGATCTTCTGCACCATGTGTGACTGAGTCAAAGTGATGGTGCGTGTTGTTCTGTCCCTAGTGATCTGTAGGCCAAGATAGCGGCACAGCTCACCTAAGTTAGTGCAAGAGTGTCTCCTCAGTAGCTCGGCCTTCAGTGAGGGCAGTGCAACCCTGTCAGGAGTAGCGAACGCATGGTCGTCGACGTGGATGAGGATGTAGAAAATACTTGAACCAAAGCGAATGAAGAGTAGTGCGCAGTGTGTTGTGCCACTCAAGAGGCGCCCGGCGCAGACCAAAGACGGCCGTCGAAGGCTCTACAAGGACCCAGGAGGAAAGGACCCAGTGAAGCCAAGTGGGCGGCGGAGGAAGATCTACTCGTGCATGCTGCTCTGGAGAAAAGCAATCGAGAATTCAAGTGCGTGAAGCTCGTAGTCGCGCTACGCCGTGATGTGCAGCAGTACCCGAAGAGTGGTCATCTTTGGGGTGGGGGAGAAGGTCTGAAAGAAGTCTACCCCCTCTCGATGACTATAGCATCTAGCCACGTAGCGCGCCTTGAAGACAGTGGCTCTCCAGGTGGCCGCTTCACCCTGAAGAACCACATGCCATCCACTTCGTTCGACACAGAGAGGGGAACTGAGTCGACGTAGGTGCCTGTGGACCTCCAAGATGCCACCCTTGCGTCCATGGTTGCAATCCACTGAGAAGCTAAGGGTTGCGAGACTGCCTTAGCGTAGGTGCGAGGGGTCGGGATGTCAAGAGCGTTTGGGTCACCCTCAGGGGTTAGCAGCCTGGCACAGAGACGAGGAGCAGCGGCCCTAAGGAAAGCCAGCTCGTAGTGCCTGTCCTCTAGGACGTCACTGCCAAGGACAGGAGCATCGTCGACGAACGGGGGACAGGCAAGAGCGGAGACCAACTGAGTGGCGTAGTCAAGGTGCAGGTGGAGGCAAAGTCAGCAACAGCAACGACAAGAGCAGAGACGGACGGAGGAGGAGCAGTGGTGTCGGTTACGAGTAAGGAAAGGACACGGAAGACCGTAGGGCGAGCAGCATGGAGAAAGTCTGAGAACAGAGGAGAGGTGACATCAAGGGACAGCAGAGGAGCCAATGGGAGAACAAAGGGTGGCAGAACATGAGAGGGACAAGGACGGAGGAGAATAGAGTAAATATCGGCAAGGGGAGAATAGAGTGGATACGAGCACGAGAGGGACGATGGGACCAGTGGTGGGAGGCAGAAGACGTGTCAGGAGTCAGAGGAGGAGACAACTATGAACGAGGAGGAAGACGAGCCTGAGTCAAGACCAGAGGACGAAACGTGGGACTGTAGACTGGGAGAGACGGTGAGAGGGGAGCAGGTGGTCGGTCTGTCTAGGAGTAAGAAAGAGCAAGAATACGATGCGCAAGCACAGGCGGCGACGGTGGCTGCTGCGGTGGCTGTTGTTGCGGCAACGGATGTTGCAACTGCTGCAGCGCCGAATGACCCGTGGCAATGGTAGAGACTGCGGCGTGGCAGCGAGGGGGGGGAGAGGGGGGGGGGGGGGAGTGGAGGTGACGGGTGGGAGGCGGCGAAGGGGCTGACACAGGAGGTGCACCCCTACGTACTAGGCCTCGAAAGTCAGCAAACTCTTCCACAGGCCCAACCGAGGGAAGGGGGGTGACACGAAAAAACAACCAAACGGGGCAGGCCATGGGAGCTAGCGGAGGAGTGGGGCCACGCGTGCGAGTGGGGGTGAGAAAGGTGACGTCACGAGAGTGGAAGAAACTGCGAGACGAAGGGTGGTAGAATAGCCAGTCAGGGGTGTCGAGGTGAAAATCAGGAACACACATGGGAAAGTGTGGGCTGAGGGCTTGTCCGCACGAGGGTCGCGAACGTGAGAAAGGCAGCCCTAGACACGAAACGCAGGCGCAGAACCAGGGAACCCAGTCCAGAGGAGGGTCAGCAAAATCTGCGGTCGTGAGACACGGGGCCACAGGTTAAGCTGGTGCGCGGCATAGCGGACTGCAAACGACCACATAAAATGGGGGGCACTGGCATCAATCATGGAGGTAGGAGCAATCTTCAAGATCAAGCCAATGTGATGCTCGGCTACCCCATTCTGTTGCGGCGAGTCGGGAGTGAGTACGTCTAGGTGATGCCCTCCGCACGACAGGACAGGCCAAGGCGACTGAAGTCGAACTCTTGGTCGTCCACAACGACCAGGAAGAAGCGCTCTCGGCGCGGCGCAGGGGGCGTGCTACCTGCCCTCGACGCAACAAGTGCACGGTGGCGCGGACGAGGGAGAGAGAGTGGGGAGCAGCGGAGGGAGAGAGAGTGGGGAGCAGCGACGGGAGACCAGAGACAAGGCCGTGCTGAGCTATGTGATGGAGATGGGGGAGGGCGAGGTGACCTAGACGGTAGTGCAAGAAAAGCGACGGGTGAGTGGACGACCTACACGAGCACGACGCAACTACCTGACCAAATGCAAGAGCCTGGGTGGACGCAGTGTGCACCGTGAACAACCTGACGCAGGTTCCCGGGGGAACATGGCAAGAGGTGCCCTAGTTGTAGTGTTC